TATATATTTATATTTACATTTACTATCTACATTATCTACACATCAACAAACTGTTAGTTTTTCATCATGTTGAATCGTAAATTATTTTCTTTCAAACATTATATATCTCGCCTTGCGCATTTACCATCCATATCGTTTTCAATCATTCACACTTTCATTCTTTCATCATCATCATTATTATTATTATAATCATTATCATCATCATCATTATCATCTTAATTATCATCAATATTATCATCATCATCATCTTTATATCGGCGTTAGAGGTGTCATAAACTCACGACTAGTTCGAAGTAAGGATTATCGTATAAAGTAATAATAATTCTTCGACTCTCGGCCAACTTACAAAATCAAATTAACGAGCAAAGATCATTCAATAAAATATAAAAAATATAATAAATACGCCAACTTAAAAAAACAGAGGAGTGAGGGACAATTAACGATAATCAGTAGCTACGTGATACATAAATCCGCGTGTAAATGGCACGCGCTACAATCGCATAATTTTGGATGACAACCTCTTTCCTTTTACCGTCCGCATCCCTTTCGAGGCTGCTTCTCGTCAATTTCACCATCTTCAGGCAATGTCATCATTGTCCCTTCATGTCGACATTGACGATTCATTCTTTTCTTCTGGGAGAATCATCGTGTCTAACATTGGGCGAGGAATTCCCAAATGACGATCGAGGTAATTAGTATCGTGGCAACATCGACACGATTTAACTTGTCTGACAATCTCTTAGAATCATTAGTCTTCCTCTAATCTCTCCTAGACAAGGGAAGGGGGAACGAAACCTTCATAAGGCTCACCAGTTCAGGTTAAATTAGGTTGTGGAGAGGGCGAAGGAGTAACGGGCTGGGGGCATGAGGCCGTGTCCTATATGAATGCCCAACATTCCAGTGTCTTGACAACAAAGTCTTCGCGCGGTGCCAACGGATCGTTGCCATACGTACTGCAGGACTGCGTTCTGCCTTGGTACAAGTCACCGTCCAACCAGAGTCCGAACTTGCCACTAAAAAAAACGATAAAACAAACAACTTCGTGAAGCTCTCGATCGACAGAAAAAGAAGTGACAAAAAGCGAAAGATGAAAAACACTTACTCTCCGGCACCGATTGCTAAACTCTCGTTGTTGCCCTTGATGAAGTATAGATTGTCGCCGCTCCAGTTGAAACATTGGAACCTTGGCGTAAACCTGAAGAGCAGGGATTCGCCGGTACCATAAAAGTGATCGCTCACATGTAGGGCGCACGATGTTAATGCACCAAACACCTGTAATAAAATAAAGTGACAAACTATAAAATCGAAGAAAAAAATATCGTACGACTAATAAATAAATTGCGTGTTTGTTCCATATAAAGAGCCTGAGTGAACAAGCCAATAGAAAACCAATTTAAATGGATGGAAAACGTTCACAAAGCGAGTAAATGCGCAAGCATACGACTTTGTGTGTAAATGCATGTTAATGTTTCGCTTAAGTTAATTATGATGACCGCAAAACTTTCTAATTAAGCGACTCGACTAGTCTCGACGTTTCACTATACTCTCTGAATGTGTCGATTTTTCTAATATATATATGATTAATTTTTACTGTAATCTTTTTAATAGAAAAACAAGAAATTATTTCTGTTAATTATATTTGTACAAAGTATCTTATATTGCAAATTTTTAATATATGATACGTGTAGAACATTATATATGCGCGTTCTAACGTTATTATATAGAATAAAATATAATATATAAATACGTGCTCTCTCGCAGAATCGCCAACATATGTATTACTCTCGTACCAAGGTTAATTTTTCAAAACTGCATCTCTCTATCAAATTAAAACCAATCGGTCTCCATTCCTCCTATTTCTATAGTTTAAATTAACAAATAAGAGACTCACGTTGCCTTCGGTATCCTCGATGACTAATAGGATCGGACTCTCGATTTTCGCCATTTTTCGATACATGCTGTTGAGGCTGAAGCCATGCTGGCTGGTGCTGAAGACGAGAGTCCAATGATAACCCTCCGCCCTCGCAGGTAGATGACGACAGAGCTGTTCCCTATGCTCGTCGCTGAGTATTTCAGTCGTACCGATGAGATCGGGCACGATGATTTCGTTGTCCAGGGAGATGGCACTGTTCGCGTAGAGGACTCGTCTCACTTCCTCGCTCATAGAGAGTACCTGTGAAAATTGATTACGTATTAGTGATATATCTCCGAATACAATTTTCGACAATACGACGTATACTAATCGCTAATTTTAATCGAGGAGGTAAAGAGCAAAGTTTTTTTCTATCAATAACGATTCCATGATCGAAAAATGATCATGGCACAAACGGATGCTATGTATGTGCTCTGTCATCTATATAAACGTACATATTCTATTCAAAATCTTCGTTGACATTAAAAATATATATGAAATGGAAAACTCTCCTAATATCGATTAGAAACAAAAATCATATTGTTAGATATATTCAATAAAATACTTTAATGTTTTCTGAAAGTGTCTATTAGGAACGTTAGAACAAATTATTATAATTGGCGTAACAATTAATTTTGTAACAATGAAACAATGTGATATCGCGGTTTCCAATCAAGTATAATTGAAGCCATTGTTTCTCACAATAATTTAACGATATATCCTTTAAATAATAAAATATTACTTCAACTTGAAATCATTGTTCTGTCCAACTCAACATCTCGAAAAATTTCAATTTCTCACTTCTTATTAACATGGGGCAAAATATATACTATCAATATAAGAAAAGAACACTACTCTAACATTCCTTCTGCTTTTGACCTCCTCAGTTCAACTAGCTTAAGCACATTTAGGGCACATCCAAGTTTGTGTCGTGTTGTACCTTGTTAACATGATCTCATGTAACCGCAGTGGGCGTCGCGTTTATTCAAGTGAATTGCTGGATAATTACTAACGTGGGAGACCGCACCGTGTGAAATATGTGCCGATATTGAATTACTTTTGTTCATCGACTGTCACAGAATGACTTTGCATAATGCGATACACGCGTGAAAGAGAATGCAAATTCCTCCTGTGGTACATCGATACGAGAAGTTCGATTGTAGAACCCGAGAACCGTAGAAGCTGACATTACGATGAACGGTCTTGCGATAAATCGTATCATAGCGATTGAATTTCATCTCTATCCCGAAATCATAGACATTAAACCCGAAAATTGATGCGTACAAACGCAGATTGTTAAGTAGAAATATCTATGTAAAAAATATCTGTGAAGATATTATAATAGGAATTAAAAAGATAGAATAATCACGACTGTCAAAACAAACGAGAGATATTGCTCTAAATTACTGATGAAAATTACAGATAAACTAAAATATATAATTAAATTACATAATTATGCAAAATTATAGAACATGATTACGCTAATATTTTCAATATTATTAACAGATACTTTTCACCCCACATTATCCCTTCGCTCTATAATAAAATTTTTATTAATAGAAGAAAATTAAAAATGATGACATATACAGGGTGTTTCTGGGTTAAATGGCCAAACATGAAATATGAATTTAGAATCCCAAAACAAAAAAAAATTTCTTGTGGAAGTATGCTCGCAAACGCTTCGTTCAAGAGATATTGACTTCTGAAGAACTATTAAGAATGAATAATTTCGAAATAATCTAGGTTTATCCTCTATTACTTTACAGTAATCAAAATTTAATTATTAATTGTTTTGTTTAAAATGATAGCCTCCAGAGACAAGCATTGCACCTATTGATGAGAGAATGAGTGGTTGATTGATATTGTGCGTCTATAATTTTTTCGCACGCTTGCACTATCCTCCATTTTAATGATTAAAGATCATTAACAGGCACTTCATACACTTTTTGCTTCAGAGTACCCCATACAAAAAATCTAATGGTGTTAAATCCGCTGAACGACATTATTCATTCCTATAGTTCTGTAACTTAAGAAGTCAATATTTCTTGAACGAAGAGTTTGCGAGCATACTTCTGCAGGAAATTTTTTTTTTTTTTTTTTTGGCTTTCAAATCCTAAATTCATATTTCAAGTTTGGCCATTCTTTTATCCGGGAACATCCTGTATAAAAGTAACATAAATAATCAAACAACGAACTTTTGAGAACACGATAGAAATTATCATCTCATTAATTGCAATTAACGCGAATTCGCGAAAGGCATTATGCACCGTAAGATAAGAATGCAACTAACGTAAACAAGCATCCGGTATGTATCGTTCATATGTATGTGATACACGATACTATCGTATGTTAAATTCAAAGAAACCCATTATCAATTTGAATAATTTGCAGATTCGGTTACAAGGCAATAAACTCGATAAAATTTTTTTTTTTCGTACGTCAGCTGCCTCTCGTAATTACAGTTTTGTATATAGTTGCATCGTTCTTACGAAATTGGCATAATTTGATAATTCTCGGTATAAGATTGTGTGTTATTATATACGACGATAAAATGTGCTTCTGACAATTATATTTATCGTCCAATGCAGTTTGAAAACGCGGTGACATGTGAAGAATATAAATCAATGATTCAATGATTATATGTTTGCGTTTAATAATATTCAAAGAGTAAAATGAACGAGATGGATCTGAATTTTTATATCTCTTCATACTTGGATGAAAAATCTATCGCGCTCGCATATTATTCTCAGATATGCGTTATTTATAAAAAAAATGTTCCTGTTTAATTCCATTCTCTCAATCAAAGTGATTTCCAAAATCGATTTAATTTTGCTGTAATAAACTTGTGTGCCCGAGTTTCATTCAGCTTAAAACGGACTTCGAAATAAATCGCAGAAAACTTTTATTATTATTCTTATTATTATTACTCTGACGTCTTAACCGAATATCGAGTTTTCGAAGAAGATTCGAATAATATAATAATAATAATAAAAAAGTTGATCACTTTTATTCATTCGATCTATTCGTGTTACAAAAGTATAATGCACATCACGTCATAAATTAATATCAGATTCACATCACAGACGTAATAAGAAAGATATCATGGCATTATTATATACGAATTACCATTTTCATTGTATATTATCTACATATAGACTGAAAAATCATGCGCAAGAAAGACACCATCTGTCAAAATATTGTTAATCATTATCAAGTAAACTCGTATTCTTTGAAAAAAAGAGATTTGTGTAAAAAAGGAGATAAAAAAAGCGATTCCGATAACCTCTGATCCCATTGTTGGAAGAATTTCAGTTTTCATATGCGTTTGTTATTAATCAACAGCTGCCTTAACTTTACCAAATGATATTATTCTAACTTTCAAGAGTCTTATGCAAAATAAAATTGAAAAATCTGTAGATGCAAGTTAATGACATTAGATAAATCACTTTCCCCCTCAGTCTGCGGGAGAAAAGAAAGGGGGCAAAACAAAATCTCTCGGACCTGCTATTTCTATATGTTCCTGCGCGCATGCTGGAAGAGGAGCCAAGTGATTTATTTATACGCAAAGATTGTACTATATCGCAACGCCTATCGTGCTTTTGACATTCGTCCCTTTCATACGGACAGATATTAAAGTGTAGTCATTGTCGATCGATGATCCTTTAGTCATGCTAGGAAGTTTTTTTCAAGTTTATCGACTACTTTATTGAATGCGTTGCGTTAATTTGATAGCGATACTCTTCCAGATGTTTCGCGCAAACAGCTTGTGCAATTATCAGCTTTCTAATAAATTAGCCGGGAGAACAGGGTCGTATCTCGTGGTAAACAATTTCTGAACTGTTATTCATATGAAATATCGCGAGAAGACGCATCGTACCGCATTTTAGGTGAAAATTAACGGTTGAATTTTACATTACACATAATGACTAGTTTGTGTTCAGACATCGTGAGCTGAAAAATAGAAAATGTGACTTTTTTTCTAATTTTTCTAGCTCTAAAAAATGAATATTGAAATATTTTGGGCTTTAAAAGTAATAGTTAATCAGAAGGATAAAAATCAGAAGAACAAAAACAATCGTATCGATAACCAAGCAATCCAGGAAATTGCAAGTTCAATTAATGTAAAAATGTCATGTATAAAAAGATACAAACTGGCTTTTTCAAATGAAAAAATAATCGGTCTGTTTTCGCAATCTATGTTACTGCAAACTATTACTTAAGTTCTCAAGAAGAATATATGAACAAACAAAATGATAGATCGCGCGTCCTTATTGTACGTTCAAATCCACAATACATAATATCAATTAAGACGTTTCGCTATTAATACTCGTCTGCAAATGTTATGTCAAGCAGTATAACGACAACACTGAAACGATGCGATGAGCACGTATTTGATAATCCGAGAAGTGCTTCTTGCACTCGATCTTTGCAAGAAAGGTCACTCTCATCGCGAGATAAAATTAATTAGAAGAACTTTTCTAAAAATATATATATACAGAATATCCCAAAACCACATTACTATTTAATAGCATCTTAAACGGATTAAGAATCAAATTATATTTATATAGGGACATTTAATATTAGAGCTAATCAATAAAATCTAAGATGAAGGATTAATTAAATCAAATTCTGCATCTTATAATATACCATATGCAATATCTTCTTTATGAAATTATTTTCCTCGATATTATGTGTCTTTAATGAAGCGTAAAATAAGACAACAAATATTTATTTATTATATTTTTATTAATAGGATCTTATATAATGTACATATAATGTATATATTATTAAATATATATGTATATATTCTATTAATAAAAATTTAATATAAACAAATATTTTTTTATTTTTATTCTTTACTCTTCATTAAAGACAATAGTGAGGAAAACAATTTTATAAACAGATATTGTATGTGGTACATCATATAAAAGACGGAATTTTCCATATGCTTATACAAAATAAAATTACAAGAGATCATTTTTAATTTTTCTTTTTAAACAAGCCAAGTACCAAAATAGAATGTATAAAAACATTCCTTCGATAGTTTGACAATCATGGAAAACCCATTACTAAAGCATTAGTTAATCGTGATTAGATGAAATAACTGCGAAAGATATAAAAAGGGTCAACATCTTAAAAATAAAAATAATCTTTCTTATTAAGGTAATAATATATCAAAAATTCGATACATAATATGTTGCGATTACAAAAACCATTCAGATGTATATCTTATTTCTGATATTCTAATGTATTTCGTTGTG